CTAATTAATATAAAGCACGCTAGACACTACTTCATAAATACTAATTGTCTTTCTCTAAGTGGCACAAAGTTAAGATCCTTTACTGAACTTCTTTATTTCTCTCTGTGACACCATGTGCCTGAATCAGCAGATGGATATGCTGTGTTTCACAAAGACAGAAGCGTGTACTGGAAGCAGACCTTGGAAACAACCATTACTGAAAATCATCTCTTTCTGTACCTTATTACACCAGCTAGCCCAACTACCATGGTACACTCTGGGGAAGAAATTAACCGAGTAAATAAAAATATACAGGCTACAGAGCATGCATTAAAACCGCAGTGTCTCCAAACGACAGATAAAGAATGCTTTTTATCTCTAGCTTAATCTGCTCTGATGAATGACCGGAGAGTTTGTTCCCTCAAAAGCTTGTAACTGGTCTGACATGAGTTCTTTGCAGATGGAGGCAAAGGGGGCTGTTGTGAAGAAGAATCCTTTGTCCAAATATTCCTGATGATGTCCTGGAAGAAAAAATAAATCTCTCAAGGAAGATTTTGTTCAGACAACTCCGATTTTTCATGACAATATCTGATGTTTATATTATTAGCATTGTTGGCTTGGATAGCTTCTGGTTATAGAAACAACCAACAATTTCTTCAACACCATTTTTGTATCTATGGGTCTAAGCTGTTTCCCTTCCTCACTCTCTGTTCCTATCTCCAATCTCGAATCCCCCAAATTAAATTGATACAGTGTAAATACAACCTTATAAGCAAAAATAGGAAATGTTGAGAAGTCCCAGTGTATCTAGAAATAGGAGCTGGAGGGATACCTCAGTGTTGAGTACTTGTTGCTCTTGCAGAGGACTGGGTTCAATTCTCAGCACCCACATCACAGTTTACAATCATCCCTAACTCCTGGGTACTCACATGGTATGAATTCATACACACAAAATAAATCTTAAAAAAAGAAAGTCAGGATACAACAGAAAATCCTCAAGATGGGATTTCGTAATTCAATTTGACAAAACTGGCCCATTTCTTTGTTCCACGGAGGAAGCTGCCACGGTTCCTATCTCTTTTTTCTGTTTTATCTGTAGGAAGAGATCTTATACTCATTGGAAGCCCTGTATGATATAGAGATATGTGAAGTTCACCAAAACAAAAATGTCAGCCTTGGGAATCAGTCACAGGACAAAAGCAACCCTGCAGGACTTCTTCAGCTACCCCAATATAGCCCATTCCATGCCAGGATCAAAATGAGTCCTGATTTGGAAATTCTGACCAAGGATTGACATCTTCTCTCTAGATTTTAACATGGTATATCGATGAATCATGACAGTGAGCAAATTGGGTAGCCAGCAGGGAGGGAAAGGAGGGAGTGGGAGGGGGAGAAGGGGAGGAGGGAGGGGAGGAGGGAGAGGAGGGGGCAGGGAAACTCTGTCCTAGCCTTGCTGACAGCAATGAGCAGATAGTCATTGAATGAAGGAAACTTGGTGGCTCACATGTGAGGCTCTGGTCTCAGAAAACAAACTGTCTGTGTAACCCAGCCTGGAGATGCGTGTGATGTTGTGGTGTTTATACTGATGTAGACAAAGATTTGCTAAACACAAACTTATTATCTCAGACCTGAGTGTCAACTGACAGCCAGGAGTTCGTTCCCTGGGAATCTCCATGGCCCTCCCCCACTCACTCTTTTCCCCTCCCCCACTTTTTTTTTTTTTTTCAGCAGCCCCAAGATGCCGGCTGCATCTCTGCACTGTAGTGCAAACAGATCCCTGCAAAGAGAGAGGAAGATAAAATGAATTTAAATTCCAAAGGGGTTCCAGGCCCCGTTTCCTAGTCCCCAAGTCAGCAATGTGTTTGTGAAAATTCAGCCTTTTTGTCTCCCAGTAAAAGGAGCTAAGTCTACAGCGGTGGCCCAGTCTCGCTTGCTATTCTTTGCGTTTTCTATTCGAGTGAATGAGACTGAATGAAGTGGCCGGGACCCTTCATTTGATCTACTCAATTGCATAAAGTGACAGAATTCTAATATATTTGTTTAATGCTCTTCAATGGGCTTTCACTTTTTTTTTGGCTTGCAAATGAAGCATCCGTGGGCAAAGTTTCGTCCCCCTTTAGCACGGGGACATATTTCATAATTCAAGCCATGGTGGTTTGAAGTGATCTGGAGAGGAGTTTTAGACTCAAAAAGTGGAAAATAAAGAGACAGATGTGCAGTTATTGTAAATTCCTGGAGTGGGCTCTGGGGCTATTGTGCCCCCACGGCGGGAGGTCCTGGGGCTGTCCCTTTCACACTGTAATTGAAACATATTAATTAGATAATTTGTTGTTAGTTTAGACGAAACAAATGCTTTCCCTTTGAGGCTTCACAGCCGGTGGGTGGGGCTGTTTTGGTTTTGGTTTTGTTTGGGTGTCTCTGCACTTACTTGGCTTTTAGAAGGAAAAGATATTAATTGGCATTTATATTAAGAATTTAGGAGGGGATCCCGCTCTATTCCGACTCTCAGCTGAATGCGCCTGACAAAGGGAGTTCCCATTTGTAAAAGTCTGACCCGGGCCTCAGCCCTGCAGTCTCGCACTGCAGCCGCAACTGGGTGAGACAGAGTTAAACCTACCGGTCAGAATTCCTGCATGGACGCTTCCTTGCTGGCACCCAGTAACTTTGCGTCCCACTTCTAAGACACTCAGTATTCTTAACAATTGGCAGAAATGAAAGTCACTGGTTTAGTATTTACGTCACTGGGGACTGTATCTTGGGGTTCCTTCAATCTTCATCTTCCCAAAGTCCCCCTGAGAGTGAGGAACAGCAAGAAACTACCGCAGCTTTCCTCGGGAGGAAGTGGAAGAAATCCATCTTTTGTGCAAACACGGATGAAACCACGGAGAAAGCAGTTAAGAGATATAGCTAAATACAAAACCTGAAAGAACTTCAAAGAAACAAAATAGCTAAGTTTTCAAAGAAAGAAAACAGCTAAGTTTTCAAATAGAAAACCTATGTGAGAAAAACCAACACTGCTTGGCTTTGCACAGTAGAAAAGAATCCAGCTTATCTTAGCACACACTTTGCACACACCTTTCCACTGCAGGCTGGGTGCTGTCCCATCCAACTCCATTTTAAAGTTATGGGTCTCCACTTTGGATGTCAGCCAAGTGAATAACTCACAGGACAGAGAAGAGAACCATCTTGGCCAGCAGTCACGAAGTTCCTTATTTGTGAGGCACTTCAGCTAAATCCACACAAGTTTCCAAGCTGAGGTAATGGCTGGTGTAGACCTGTTTGAGTGGACTCTAAATTTCTGGTCAAAGTAAAAATATCATCAAAGTTGTGTTCGCCTCTTTGCTCATTCAATTTTGACTGGGGGGTGGGGGGCAGGGAAATGCCTGCAACCTGAAAGGACTCATAATGGCCAAGTTATTTCATTCTTCTCAATACACTAAGAAAAACTTACCAGCTAATAATTGCATTTTCAGATACTGAGTTCAAAATCTCTCTTTTTGGCAGAGATGAGGTCTATACCTCACTGCCTCCGTGTATTGGATATGAGTGTCCACATGCCACTTATCTACAAGACCAGCCACCAGAGGCCCAACAGTCTACCTGGCTAAAGTCTCTTAGATGTCACAGGCCCGTGTGAGCCCTTCATTTGCCTCATCCCCAGCCTCCAGAGTTAACAGAGTGGATGAGATCTGATTCTTCCAGAGGCTGCCTTAATTTTATTTTTCAGGACACTGAAAATGTACTTAGCTTTCTTTTTAAAATGATTTCTTGTTGAGAACTAAGTTTCCTAACCGAGGGTGGCTACGTTTTCCAGGCTTGCTCTGGCTGATCTTGTTGATATAATTGTGAATTAGGTTTGATGAATGAGTTTAGTTGTCCGCTGTCTGACTGGCTTTAGAAGCTTCATGCATTTTAATCAGCCCAGTGATTCATTTATTTTCTACTTGTTTGTGTGTGTGTGTGTGTGTGTGTGTGTGTGTTCGTGTGTGCTGTATGTGATCCTTCACTTTCAAAAATAGAATAGTCACAACAGGATTCATTATGCTTTGCATTAATCCTAAATATTTTTCCAGGTAGCCCACTAATTAGGTGGTGACAGGTGTTGAGGGGTCTCCTTCTGGAGCACTTCAGCGTGGCTTCGATGTGTCTTTAGGGGCTTTCTCCGTGTTTCACAAGGCTCCCTTGTTTAATCATTTACACAGTAAAGTGTTAATCACCTTTTAAGTTTCCCTTTGTCTTGTAACTTCTTCAGTTGAATACACATCTTACTCTGGAAATATTGTGACCCCCTGCAGCCGAGTGTCAATCAGCCTTGAACCATAAATTCTTGGCAAGTTTTAATTCTTGGCAAAAAAAAAAAAAAAAAAAAAAAAAAAGGAAAAAAGAAAAGAAAAAGAAAGAAAGAAACCATGTAGAGGCAGGCATTTGAAGACACTTCATTCACAACTTCAAAATAAATGCATTCAGTTCCTCTTCCCGCCCCCCCCCCCTCCAGGAAGGGCTGGAAGAAATCTACTCAATGCAAAGGTTTCTTGACCTGGACAGTGAACCTCAGGTGATTTCTGAAAGAAAGGGAATGTCACCAACTACAGTGATTTAAAGGAATAAAGAAGGAGTTCCTCCGGGTGGGTCAGAAGCATCAGGTTAAGGACTGAGTACCCCAGCCTGGGAGTACTTTGTAAATTCCACACCAGCCTTCGGTGTCTGTAAGACGATGCCACAGACAGCGTGTTGAAGACAGATTAAAAACACACAGGAAGTACTGCAGTTGTTCTGAGTGATCCCTTCAATGCTGCACCTGGGCCCGGGCTTTGCATCTGAAATACTTGGCCTCACTCTTCCCCCTCTGCGCAAATGTCTTCCACGACCCCCCTAGAATAATGTCCCCTCACCTGCAACTGTGTTTTCATGTGATTTGAAAATGGCAACCCCCCCCCAGACGTGTTTACAGAGGCTGATGCTACCATCCATCTATTGTCCCCCGCAGCAAGTCTTCAAGAACACACAAAACTTAACAAAACTTGAATTTACATATTTTAATGAGAAAATATTATTTAGACTAGGTCATAATTTATTGTAGACACCTTTTTAAAACTCTGTCTTAAAATGGGCATGCTGGGAACAAGGACATCGATATTTAAAATGCCATGCGAATTCTGTGCAGGGAGGAAGAAAAATAAAGATGGGAAATTTTTTTCACAGCTTGGACGACACTACAGTTTCTTTTTTTAAATTAAGCAGGTCACACCAGAACAAGTGTTGGGTTGTTCTTTGTTTTTGTTTTTCAGTCAATTACCTAAGAAGCTAAAAGGAACATACCAAACCAAAGTGCATTTTACACGGTGTAAATCATTCCTATTTACAACTCTTTGCAGCCCTTTACCTTCATGGAAAAGTTCTTCTAACAGAAAGATCTGTCCAGGGGACATCTCTGTTGACACCCCCCTTCACGTTCCCAGTCGGTTTATCTGCATTCTCCCCCCTCTTGCCCCAGGTGCTTTCTTAATTGGGCTTAGTTCACGTTTCATTTCTCTTTCCTTTTCCTTTCTTTCTTCATCAAAATAAATAGCTAAAAAGGTCTCTAAATAGTAAGAAAGTTACCATCCCAATTAACTTCCCCATTCCCCCCTACTCCCCCCCGCCCACCAAAAGCTGGCCAGAAGAGTAAACATTCACATTACAACAGGTAATTGTAAAGAGGACTCTGCCCCCTAGCCCGCCTAGCCAGGCAGATGCTCAAGTTCACTGTTTACATTTTTTTTTTTTTAAACCGCGCGCTTTGTAAACAATAACGGTGACTTCTAGCTGTATTTTGCATTTGCGAAGGACAAGCCTCCTCCCTAGTTTAGCAGCCTTCTCTCCTCCCTCCAAGCTAAGAGAGCCTCTGGCCGGAAACAAAACCCAGAAGCAAAGAAAAATAATCTTCCTTAGAAGCCCGGGAGGCTGGGCCGCAGCCTGGGGAAGCAGCGTCCCGCCCATGCCGGCCTGATGGGCGGAGGCGAGCCTGTCGGAGGATTAGTGGGTCCGTGGCCACAGATTTTCAGGACCTAAGATTTGGCCCTCGCTGTGCGGCTGCAGCCTTGGCGGGCTTCACACCCGTGCAGTGTCTCTGGTCTTGAAATTGCGCAGAGTCCAGAAGATGCTTTTTTTTTTTTTCCTTTCTGTTTGCGTTTTCTCCGAGCAGGAGGGAATCAGGGTGTCCTGCCTATTGGATGGGAGTGCATTTCTGGGACTCTGGAGGGGTCGCTTGGCTTGGGTTAGTCCCTGTGTTCTCTGGTGCCCTGGAGGGGCGAAGACAACTTTCACGCGCCTTCTAGCAAGTTTGTGGTTTGTCTTCCAGGTCCAAAACCAAAAGTTCTCCTAGGAGAGAGGACTGAAGGAAGAAGGTGGAATGGGCAAGTCAGGGTGACGGTTCTAGGTCGGAGAGGGATGGACCCGGAGCCGGGGAAGTGGTGAGAGGGGTGATGTAGAAGTGACCCAGAGGGAGCCCCAGCTTCTGTGGGTCAGTGCACGGCCACCGAGTGCAAGGCGGAGGCCGGGCTGGTGAGTGTCTCGCTAGGGGTAGCAGGGCTGCTTTGGCTGGTGGCTGTCTGCGAGGAAGTGGGGCTGAGCGAAGGCGGCGAGTTCGAGAGCAGGGTGGGGATGGGCGCGGGCAGCGCTGGCAGCGCGGGCACTGCGGCCGGCGTGGGCTTGATGGGCACCGGGATGGCGGGCAGCGTCTGGCCCGCGGCGTGGCACAGGGGCTTCAGCGGCACTCCATAGGCGCTGTAGTCGCCACTGGCCATGGAGATGGGGGTGGCCGAGTCGATCATACCCGCGGAACCGTACACATGTGGCCAGCCTGTGCCCAGAGAGCTGCCCATGGTAGTCAACTGGTTAGGGAGCGGGTAGGCAGCGGGAACTGGCTGCATGGCCGAGAAGGCCAGTCCCCCAGGCATCTTGTACTCCCTCGCGATGATGTTCTCGATGGCGAAGGGATGCTTGAAGCCGGAGGGCTGCGCCACACCGCCCAGGTTGTAGGCAGCGGCCGGCATCTGCGGCAGATGCGTGCCAGAGGCGGCCAGCGCGCTGAGCCGCAGCTTAGCCTGCTGCTGGAGGTACTGCGCCGCGTCCGCTGGCTTGCTAGGAGCCAGGTGGTCAGACTTGAGCACCTTGAAGCGCTTGCGGCGCCGCAGGAAGCTGCCGTTCTCGAACATGTCCCCACAGCTGGGATGCAGAGCCCAGAAGCTGCCCTTCCCCGGCTGGTCCGGCCGCCGCGGGATCTTGATGAAGCAGTCGTTGAAGGAGAGGTTGTGGCGCAGGCTGTTCTGCCAGCGCTGCGTGTTCTCCCGGTAGTAGGGGAAGCGGTCCATGATGAACTTGTAGATCTCGCTGAGCGGCAGCATCTTCTCCGGAGAGCTCTGGATGGCCATGGCGGTCAGCGAGATGTAGGAGTAGGGAGGCTTCTGGTCGCTGTACGTGTTGCGGCCCGGCCGAGGCATCTTCTCACTTACACACTCACTGGCTCAGAGTCCGCGCGGCGGGGAGGACTGGTCGGATCTGAGAAGGAGGAGGTGATGAAGGAGAAGGGCAGCATGGGTGCAGAGACACTCCCGAGGTCACTCAGGCCGAGTCATAGATATCGGGGGTTGGGGGCGGGGGATTCGGGTGCCAGCAACTTTGCGCACCAAACTGGATGGACCCAGCCAGCGGACGTGGAGAGGACTGCGGGGGTGGCAGAGGGGAGGGGGCGAGGGTTGCGGGAAAGTAAGTAGAACCTGGATTCAGGGGAGGGGACAGATAGATAGATGCTCACCTTAAAGTTGTTTCAAGTTGCGGGTCCGCATCCGGGACGGTGCAGCTGGTGGCCGAGTCCCTCCCCTCCGGCGATCAGAGCTCAGCGTCGGAGACCGGTGAGACTAGCTGCCAGCCTGGCTTGGGCTCAGCCTGGGAGAGCTCCGCGGCGCTCCTGGGCGGTGAGTCCTGCCCGGGAGACCGAGCTGGGCTGCCGAGTGCTGGAGCGGACCGTGGCAGCCGCCGCCGCCGCCGCCGCCTCGGGGATCCAGAGGACGCTGCTGTGTCGTACGCGGCTCCGCTGAGCTAGGTGGCTGCCTCCATGTCCACCCTCGAAACATCTGATAGTTTTAAGCGGTGACAGGAGCAGAAAAGACCCCTGTAGCGGCGCTTCATTAATGTGCCACTTCTTTGCTATCGTATGACAATCGCCTTGGGAGGAGGAAGAGGAGGGGGGCAGCGGGGGCTGCAGAGGGAGGGGACTGAGGAAGAGGGGAGAGAGCCTGGCCAGCGCTGGTTTCTTTCACACCTATTTACATGGACACCTTGGCCAATAGGAATCACTTCCAGCAGAAGACCGGGCGACCCGGGAAGAGCCTCTGCCGCCCGCGGGGAGCGGGCAGCGCCTGCCGGTGTGCGCGTTGGCAAGGTATGAGCGGACCGGCGCGCCGAGCCGGGGAACCAGGCGACCATTCACGCTCTGAGCTAGCTGCCGCGCCGACGGTGTTTGACATGGAAATTGCTCGGCTGGGGTGTTGTTTCCTCCGCATTGTATTGGGTTTGTATTGTTAGCTAACTTCTAGCACAGGCTTTCTCTTGAAGGGCGACCCTTTTACTTTACGTGGCACTGCCCGGGGTTGGTTGAATGGGTTTTAGGATGGAAATATACACCCCCCCCCCATCCCCAAACACCACCCCTGAGTCCTGCAAGAGGCAGGTGGAAGTTTGATTTGGCCTCCCGGAGGCTTCAATGCTGCACACTGGAGTATGTCGCTTTAAAAAGGTGGTAAGGTTAATAGACAGACACATATAGACATAAATATTCGGACAGCTGGGTAGAAGAGTCTGTTTTGAATGCAGACGTGTTAGGTAAGTTTTTTTTTATATTTTTGGTTGTGAGCCTAGCCTTTAAAGGCTGAGCCATCTCTCCAGGCCAAGGTATCAGTTTGTTTGTTTGTTTTTTTGTTTGTTTGTTTTAAAAGGAAAAGAAAAGAATGGACGAAGGTACTAGGTTTTTCCTTTATCAATCTTTTAGCGATTTGATGGGCACAAGGAGGCTCATTGGACGTTGAGGCAGGCAGTGTTCAGACCTGGGGAGGGCCTGAGTTTGTCTAAGATACGTTATGGCCTCGGGATCTCCTCCTTTCTCCAGGTGCTTGGGAAGCCTGGCGGTTCCTGGGAGTTAGCGGGTCAGCATTTTATAGTCCCTCCTTCCCTCTTTTACGTGGGAATAGTTTCTTTAGAGTTTAGAACGCCCTGAAAAGACAAACAGTGCCTGCTGAGACCTGCGAAGGACCGGCTAGTTTTTCCGGGTGGGGGTGGGGAGGTGGCTCCGATCTTTGGGCCTGGTGAGGGTAGCGGGCTCCTTTGAGTTCGGATTTGCCTTGTGAGGATTCTATGAATCATGATTATCATTATCATCATCTTCGTCGTCATCATTATCAAACTGCTATGAAATAAACAGTGAGTCAGCCCGTAGGCATGCACGCAATGAGTACCAGCCATGAGCTGCCACGCTTTTCAGCGCTTTCCCTGGCCTTTGTGGTTTTAAAAAGAACCCCATGCCATCATGTTAAATACAAAATACCTACAGTCTACATAGAACAATCTTTAAAGTCCGGAAGCCTCTTTCCTTTTTCTTCCCCCCCCCCCCGCACCCCCTCTCCGGAACCCCAGGAGGAGATAGAGAGTTCTGGTGTGAAGTTTGTTACACTTTGAGTGACAGTAGAGCATCAGTCTGTGGGTATCATTTTTAAAAAGACCTTTCAGCTTGCGAGCTCGCGCGCGCGCGCGCACGCACGCACGCACCCGCCCACCCACTCACATAACTTCATTAACCACAGTTTCGAAGCTGGTCAATAACTCACCAAAACGTAACTTAAACACGACGAATTTAGGAGATTAAACAATTTCATTAATATTGAAATGGCTCTGGCGCCTGGGCTGCCGCGCTTTAGATGCAAGCGCACGTTTTTCAATATTAACAGAGTGCTTGAAGGAAAGACTCAAGTCACCTTCTTAATTCGGGAAAAAAAATAACCAGGAGGAGGAGGTGGGAGCAGGGAGATGGGGGTGGGGGCGTTGACCTATCTCTGGGGGCAAGGCTAGAGCAGGGCAGATATGTGGATTTCTTTTCTCCAAAGATTAAATCAGTCGGACCCTAGGCCCAGTTGGGCCAGAGGCAGTCCTGCTGGCCTGAGCTGCGCGCGCGGCCGCGGCTAACAGAGTGAGGTTTGGGGTGTTTTTGCGCGTGCCCGGGTTAGGATCTAGGGCCTGCGGTGGGAGGAGCTGGGAGCGCCAAGGGGTGGGGAACCCGAGGGATGTTTGGAGAAGGGTGGAGGGCTGGTCCACGTCTTGCTTGCTCCAGCTCCAGCTGGCTTTGTAGGCACTAAAGCAAGAGTTGCTTTAAAGGAAGCAGGATTGCTCCGGGGTGGAAAGTTACTAGCATGGGAAGCCCCTGAGTGTTTTAAAGATCCTTTTTTTTGGCAAACACGTGCATGGGTTCATGCTGAAATGCAAACATAGATGTTTATGGTGGTTGCATTCGATATGGTAAAAGACCGTCGCTCTTCCCCCAGTGACAACCAGCAAGATGTTCTCCAATCCTGTAAGGTTGTATGTTAATAGTGAGGGATGGGGAGCGAGCGATGTTTTCTTATTTTACCCACTGGCATGTTGTTGTCTTGCAAAGGGGGCCATTGTGTGGCTGTCGAAATCACTGTTCAGAGCAAATGGAAGATTAACTAAATTCTAAAAGTGGAAACCTTCACGTGAAAAAAAAAAAAAACTAACCTGGAATAAATCTTTGTTCATCTTCCTGGGGAAAACTGTCACCACCGAGTTCTTGCAATAATACTGTAGGAACTGGTGTTTGAGGAATATTCAAAGTCTGGTTACAGTCGAGAACGGAGCTGAGGCACATCGCCCATGTTCAGGGTTAGTCAAGTAAACAGAGCTTAATCGCCTAAGTTTGTCTTGCGAGGGGAAAGGAGCTGTGAGAGGCGCATTTAACTCCAGGGCATTGCTACAAGTTCTACCTCAGTTGCTGTCAGAGGTCTTCAAAGCCCGGGGCGGGGGGGAGGGGTTACGGGGGGGGGGAGCAGTTGCAAGCGGTTTACAGCATTTCAAGGCTGGTATTATAAAGAGAAGGAGTGCTTTCCAGAAATCTTGAAAAAGTGCGTCCGAGTCTATTGTACAGAACCCAAAGCCAACAGAAGCTGGATGGAGGTGGGAGGGGGCAACATCCGACCCGGGGGCTTAAAGGGTTGTTGGGAAAACTGTATAAAATACACACAAGTCAATTATACCCCATGTGCCAACCAAATGGAAATCCCCTCCAGCAAGGACCGTTCATCACCTCGTCAAGCCCACCGCCCACCACCTTTCTCCACTGAAAGTTTGCTAGAGCCTTTTTCCCACAAGCTGGACCACACACGGCTGCAGATTTTGCAATAATTTATGCTAATTTCCCTCCATAAATCCACAATTCGCTTCAGTGGCACCCGAGTTGCTGAGGGAGTAAAAAGGAGACAGAGGGGTGACAAAAACAATATTGATTTTTGATTCCTTGTGTTGTTAAGCAGGTGTGTGTGTGTGTGTGTGTGTGTGTGTGTGTGTGTGTGTGGTGTATGTGTGTGTGTGTGGTGGGGCTGGCTTGTGGGGGAGGAGAGGGCTCCAGGAGAGGAGGACCCTCCCCTAGCCATCTCCTCCCGCCAACCCACCAAACACACTCCAGAAAATAACCGCGCCCCAGTTTGTTAATATTTACCAAACCGGATGGGAGGTGGAAGGAACGTACTCAGCAGCTCTGAAGGTTTCCCGGGCGCTAAAAACAATACCCGCCGCCCCTACTCGGAACGCGAACTGTTCTGTTCTCAGCCTGCAGCGACGAGGCTGAGCCCGGCTTGGCCCTCGCGCTCCTCTTCCTGAGCTCCTGCAATCGGAGTTTCTTTCTCCTTATCCCTTCTCTCTCCGGTGCTACCCGGCCTCTCACTTCTCTCTTGCGCAACGCCCGCTCATCAGCGACCTGGGCGGACGATAGTAGGGCAGCCGAGAGGACTGAGGACGGGCTTGCAGCGGGTGCTGAAGTTTGAGGGTCTTATGGGTCTCCTGTGGCCCGCCCCACCATTCCTGGTCGCCTCGGGTATTCGCTGCTGCAGCAGCCAGCGCTCTGAGAAACCCGCGCTATCGCACCGCGCCTCTTTGTCCCATCAGTCATTCTTGACCAAATCTGCACTTTGGTGGCGTGAAACGACTTAGCTCTCCTTTCAAAAGGATTTTGTTCCTAGGGTATTCAGTACTAAACAAACTTCTTCAGCTTGTCAGTGGACAATTAAAAAAAATATATATGCCGTTCAGAGTGTCGCAGGCTGTTTGTCCTGGGCGTCTGTGACCACCCCCCGCACCCCCAACACACCTCATCCCACCCCGGCGCCACTTTGCATTGCTTTCCTCTTTTGGACTGCAGGAACACAGAGGGCCGGCTTAGCTGCTTGTCTCCAGAACACTAGCAGGTTCTAGGGCCTCAGAGTCTCGCACCTAGTTGGGGCGTGTTACAAGAAGCATCCACCCTCGCTTTTCGCTATCGACTTCCTCGGGATTTTGAGCCTGTGCTTTCCCAGCCATTCGACCCTAGCCTGGCTGGAAATAGAACTGCCCCACGAAGGAAGCCTGGGGAGGAGACACACACACATTTCGCTCTTGTGCCAACTGTCACTCTGGTACTAAGTGCCAGTCTGCCATCTCTGCCAGCGGCCCCGGGGCCCTGCTACCAAAGGAGCACACTTTTACCTAGTAGCAGGAGGAAAAAAAAATGCCTGACGGGGAATTTGGGAACCCTTTCATCGGTTAATGACTGCCACGTGGGGGTAGAGCCTTAATTCAGAACAGGGAGGTTGAATTCAAACTTTTGATAAGTATTCTTAATGCCTAAAATCACGCTCATCCCATCTGCCGGTTCAATTCCGCTAGTTCCTAGTAAGATTAGAATCACCAAGTCGTTGCCTGCCCCCCCCCCAAAAAAAAACCTCTACTATATACTTCCATCCTAACAGGGAAGGTCAACTTCAGGGTGTCCCTCCTGCCCCTTAGTGCTCACCAGGAAAACTTGCCTCTGGGGAAACTGAGGCCTCTGGCTGTAGCACTTTTTCTATTTGGGCCAGGAGGGAAAATGAGCTGAGCAACCACGCCCTGGACATTTTACCCACTTATGCCCAGTAGCTGTTGCAAGGTGGAGGGCACCGGAGGCCTTCCCTTCA